AATAACATAAAGACTACAATGATGAAATGAAGCAAAATTGTTGATGAGGGCTAACATTATTTATTGTCCACCAAATACCGCCAATGAAACATGAGGCCAGAGTCGGTAGAACTGATAAATATTCTTCTCATTTTCCTGGCATTTGGCCCCTTTCTAGGATATCTTCTTCTCCATTAATGTACGAATTGGTGAGGGGTAAATCTCCTTGGAAGTCTGGTGTACACTCCGTTGGAAGTCTTTGGAATTCTTTGGATGTCTTTCGGAGTCTTTGGATGTCTTTGGTAGTCTTTGGATGTCTCTGGAAGTCTTTGGATGTCTTTGGAAATCTTTGGGAGTCTTTGGGAGTATTTGGAAGTCTTTGGATGTCTTTGGAAGTCTATGTTAATTGGAAGTCTGGTGTACACATTTTTCCTGGAGATTTACCCCTCGAATTGGTCCTGAAGTTCCACATTGAGAGTAAAAGAAGGAAGTCTGCTCAGGGTTATTATATATCTATAGGGACAGGAGACATCTGGAATTCCTGATATTCCTTTCTCATGATGTCACATGAGGGCAAAACAGAATAGCCAACTTAGGAATAAGTAAGGCCTAAGTCCTAAGTTAGGCCTTTTCTATTGTGTTCACTCAACTTGCTGAGCTTGTTTTGTTTCAATGGCTTTCTGTATTTACATCTTGGGATGAACAGAGATAAGAGATGACAATAGAAGAAAGTCAACTTCAGCAAGTTCAGCAACACAAATGAACCAACCTTTTCCTGGTAGCCAAGGTGACATTGTGATGACATAAAAACCATCCGAAAATATATCTAACTTTCAATCTAAGCCAGGAGCTAGGAATGTTTTCCCATAGTTTTCATACCATTGCAATGTCAGATGATGACCTTGGCTGAATTATATTGACCTATCCAAGATGCTGTCAAACCATCTAAATCAATATGGCCGACTGTAGGCACACATACTTTCGTGTCGCAATATCTTTGTTATAGCGGTCTAAGGATAATAAATATCCACTTTTATTCAAAACAACCATTATTATTATCTGATATATCTACCAAAGATTATACTGCTGCTACGTAAATCAACAAAAAATACTTGTGTGCCTACAGGTGGCCATTAGAAATTTGTCAAAAGTCACGTGTTCTGGAATGCCTTATTATTTGAACAGATGACAGATGCCAATAGGTTAAAGTTAGAGCTTGGGAAAAATAAACATGAAATTTTGAAAAAATAAAAGATGTGGACTGGAACACTGAATGATGAACTGAAGCATCAAATTGTTATTCAAAAAGAGTTCAGAGTAATATGGTTACATATTCAGCAGTAGTTTTTCAAGTCATAATTACAAAATTTTGTTTTCAAATGTTAGAAAAAGTACCTACTCCTTATCTGGCTAAACTCAAGCAGTGAGCATATCATCAGGTGCCAATTCCTCATCCTTATTTATACAACATTTTTGTTTTTCTGAACTTGTTACTCCATAGACCCACCAGAGTATAGGGATCAGAAAAAATATAGAATCATTCACAAAATCATTATGAATATTTGATACATACATTTTCGAATTATGAGAATAATAAACAATTCTGTATTTTTTTGATGGCAGCATTCTGTGAAAAATTCTATCAATATATTTCTTCTTATTCTGATGTCTTTTCTTTCTTCTCTTTTGGTCAAATTCTAGATATTGGGAATTTTGTTTTCAGCTGATAAAATCACCAATGATTTCTGATATGTATGTTGTATGCTAATTTAATAATATAGCCAATTTTGCACTCATATTATCATCATTCCTTCAGTCTTCACATGTTTCATACCAGTTATTTTTGATAACTTACAGGAATTTCTTGTCCACAATCCATAAAACAACATGAAATCAATTGATTTTTCAACATTTTTATTGGTAGCAATGCCCTCGCTTACCTCACCTGACCCCTTCACCCTCATAAAGCTCATTTATAAAGTAACCCTGTTAACCCTGAGTCTGCTGAAGCAAAAAACAAGGATACTACCTAACTAGGTTGTCAAATAGAACAACAATGGCTGAAGTATTTCAATAACTTCAATCTGTTCAAATATTCTTTTACATTCTGATTTTTTTTATATAAAACAGGCCATAGCCTTTGGGGCTATTTTGGAATTTTTGACTTCAACACCTCACATTTTAGTAGCGCCAACTGGTGAGACAGAAAATGTTGCCCTCATTCTGTCAAACATGTAACCCTGGATCCTGGATTCAAATTGAGGTTCAATTGTTAGCTACAGTACAATAGTTGTGAATTCAGACATAATTTCAGAAAAAATATGCCTTTACTATTCTGAAGCTAGTTAACTTATCTTTATCAGCCGGAATGTTCAATTGAATCAAAGTGATGTTATATGAATCCACTTGTAACTTGAATTTCACTCACTTTGTGATGTTTGGCCAGCTAGTCGTCTCACAGGTAACTTTATTAGGATTGAAATCAGTTCGGCATAGGTTTCAGCCTCGGTTTCAGCACGACTTCAACATGGTCTTTAGAGCTTTCAATTCCAGATCCAGTTCTAGATGGAAACACATATCAACGTTCATTTTTCATTCATTGATGGATGCAGAACGGCAATAACGGTTCCAAATTATTCAATGTCATTGATCAGACATGACAGGAAATGCACTACATCAGAAAACTACAATAATCAAATATAACCATATTAAAACTATCGGATTATCAGATCTTTGGCCCCAATTATTTCAGTAAAATTACTAAAATTATAATTCAGCTGGTCCACCCTGACCCCTGACGTGACGTCCCTGACTGAAGGAAAAACAACAAACGCGCGCAGTGCTTTGCCGCGCTTTAACGTTGCCCCACACGATGATTTGTTTCCTTATGTCTCTTTAGGCTTTTGGCTTTTGCAGCATGCAGTGACAGCTTGGCGAGTATCACAGTCATATATTATCCTTAGCTGATAATCCCATTTATCATTCCAGAACATTTCCAGAATTACGTCATTTGACAGGTTGCTGAGTGGCAAACATTGTATTTTGTCAAGATTTGTCATATAAAACCAGAATTAGTGTAATCGTTTTCCTTGGAATCCGAATTGGAATCAGAAAAAATTTCATAATTTTGTTTGGTGAAACTGTTATTATATGGGTTGCGTGCAAGAACTGTCAGATGACCGACACTGGAGGCAAAATATTGAAATACAAACGTCACTTTACTTATTTGTTTACAAGTGATTGAAATAGTTTTTCACAATTATTTGGCATACCAATCGTATTTTTCCGCTATTCATCAATATTCGCTCATGCCATCACATTATGCTGTTGTGAAATGCACAAAAACTGCAATGGAAGACGAAGTAATCCGGTTGGTACATTATGATTCAAAAGTAAGTACCTACTATAGTCACTCACAGATCACTCACATATAGTTTTCATTTTTGAAATTTGGTAATTTCTCTGATTTCTCATCGGAATTCTTTATGCGATAGAAGCTGAAAGAAATACATCTGAAATTTCTAAAATAATGCTAGAAAATTGGATTCATGCAATCAATCGGGAGGATTGGTCTGACATGCTGACGATCGTGTGTGTTGTAGACATTTTCAATCTATTAGCAGTATTAGCTTGTATTGCAGAAGTGACAGAAGGCAGAAGGAATTTTAATAAGGAATGACAACATTTCATAATGATAACTGTGTGAGATTACTATTTACTTGAAAAATCATATTCTCTAGTCTCTTGCTGCACTTTTTGTGCATTGTACAACAGCACAATGCGAAGGCATGCTCGAATTAATGAATAGCGCAAAAAACACGATTCGTATGCCAAAATATTGTGAAAAACTAGTTCAATCCTTTGATTCCTCTGTAACCAAGTAAAAAAGTGATTTCTTTGCAAATGATGAATGTGAAAAATAATGGATACGCTGGGAACATTCGAATTGAAAATGAATGAAGTAGATGTCGAAGTGAGAGATACATGGGTAAACTGTGGAAGTGAGTAAAGTGAAAGAAATAGGAATTCACAAATAGTTCATATTGACGTCAATTTGACGTAGTTGCCTCCCACCACCTCCACCTATACAGTGTGTTTCAGTTTTTTGTAGCAGGACTTTAACAGCTTGAAGAAGACATTTCTTCAAGATGAAAATCTCATACAAAAATATATGCGTGGGAGCTTCGTTTCCGATTCACAGGGTGTCAAAGTTACAGATTTTTTTTATGTTTTTTGAATTTTCTCCTAAAATTTTCGGAATAATTGATTGAAATTTGGTACACCTAATAAACTTAAAAATTCAATATTTAAGGCTATCGAGCATTTTTGAATACCTACAGGGTGATAGACTTTCAGGGGTCGTACCCAATTTAACCCTATAGAACTTTTTTGCGTGCCGTCTCTCCTTTCAATGGGACATAGATTCAGATTTTCCTTTCAATTTGGAAACTTTTTGTCCCTATGTAAATTTTTCGAAAACTAAAGATTTCGAGATGAATGACAAAAATAAATTACTTGTAATAAAACCGTTATTGCTCAAATACACTTATTTGACATTTCTCAAACATTTTATTGGAAAATAGAATGACCGAAAGCTTCAATACCAAATGAAATTCAGTTGCAGAATTAAATTGATTTTTCTGAACACCATTATAATTAAAACTTGAAAAATCAAAACATAAAAAAAATCTGAAACTTTGACACCCTGTAAATCGGAACCGAAGCTCCCACGCATATATGTTTGCATGAGATTTTCATCGCAAAAAAATGTCTTCTTCAAGCTGTTAAAGTCCTGCTACAAAAAACTGAAACACCCTGTATATCCTAACCAGGTTTAACGGGTAATGTGAATATTGTGAATGAAATATCCCCAGCTTGGTTGTGAACGGTTGTGAGCTCTTGTCACGTCAGCTGTCACCAGGTCACAGAGCACTTACTTTTTAATCATTGACTGTGTGCATAGAACTGTAATTTATGTGACGTGCATAGAACACAGGCATCATAGAACTATGGAATAAATCAAAAATCAAGGAATAATAAAACGAAATCGGGCAAATGATGGTAAACAAAAAATCTGATGGCGGACTTCAAAGGAGTTGAATACTAGAATTTCGTTAAATTGCGTGTTGAATCGTATTTGTGATTCTCGATGTGATTATCGTTCACAATGGAGAGCGTGAAATCTGAAAATGAGTCGGAATTAACATCGACGGTAGGAAATACTATGTCAACGTCCAATAAAGATGAAAAAAACGACACAAATGATGCTACACCAACATCATCGACCGATGCTAGCACCGCTTCTACGGCTTCAAGAATGGGTAATACTAATTTAAAACTCATTTCAGCTCATCAAAACATTATTTTCAGTTTCAGATGACCCCATAAGCAGCACTTCTTCAGACACAAATGAAAAGTCCTCTTCAAGCATAAACCAAATATCTGTAGATGATGCAGATAAAGTTTCATCTGTGGATCAGGTAGCAGATTTACTAGAAATTAATGTGGGCAATGTTAAAATCACAGAAGATGTTGAGGATCTTGTACATGATTTGGAAAGCCTACTGGGTGAATCTACTGACTCCTTCATACTTCCAGTTAAGGCTGTTGAAATGAAACCTGAAGGAAAAGCAAGTGTGAATGATCCTGGTCCTCAATACAGTGTAGAAGTTTGCCCACAACTGAAATCAACCAAGAGTAAGTTCTTATTTCTCTTTGACAACCCCCCAGTAATCAGGATTCATGAACTTTATAATCTATACTTGCTATGTACTGTCCCAAAAGCATATTGAATTGGAGGTTACTGTCCTAAAGCAATTCATGTTGTGATAAAAGAATTATATATTTATCTATTTTTGACATTACAAGAACATGAAACATGAAGCACTGGAAAATTATATCTTGTGATGAAAAGTAAAAAAAAAAATGCAATTAATAATATTAAACAAAAAATATTTGTTTTCTGAAACAGCAGCTACTCTAGTTGAGATCACCTTGATTTTAAACAATAATTGAAAAATTGACAATGCCCATGGCCATGGGTGAAACATTTTATATTTGTGCCACAATTTGATTCATATAATACCATAGCTAAACCCCAAGACAAGACCTTTTGAAAAAAGTTGTAATGCAGGATTCCAGAAAACCCCTCCTAAATCCAACTGAGTAACCACCCTGATATTTTGGTGTAGAAATGGTAACATTATTTGTTGTCCACCTGATTGAGCCAATAAAATGTGGGGTCAGAGTTGGTAGAACTGATGAATATTCTTCTTTTCATGTCCTTTGGCCCCTTCCTAAGATATCTTTTTTTCCCTGAATATAAGAATTGGTGGTGTAAAGTTCCATCCAGAGTTGCACATTGGGAGTAAAAACATGTAAGTCTGCTCAAGTCTTTCCATAACTTGGGGTTTTCTATTTGTTCCAAGGCATTTTTTTCTTTCTGAATATTTTCAGTAAAACGGGCAGGATTTTTGACCTCAAGTTTTAGTGATGCCCACTGGTGAGACTGAAAATGTTACAGGTAGGGGTGGGCACTTGTCCATCTATTTGTGATGGATTTTTTTTTTTATTTATAATTATGCTTACTTAATTCAGGTTGTGTGGGCATTGAAGTCAATTCATCTGGATAGCTGAAAAAATACTTGACTTCCTCAATAAACACCATGAAAATACTTTATAATTATAAGCCATATGACAATAACTGAAGGTGAAAAACTGACTGACAATCTTGAAACATACCTTCATGTTCTATGGATTGCAGAACAACAAGTGTACCACTCAAATCCAGTGCATACTCCTTGCAAATTCTGGATGAGGTCACTAAAAATTCCATACTTGGATTGATCAATTAATTAATTAATATCACCTACCTCCTCCCTACTGATTTTGCACCAGTTTTATGTGTTAGATGTGATTGAAGATTTCATAAAAAATTACAACGTTTTTCTGGTTATTATAATAACTACAAATTTTCCAGGGAGGGTGAATTATGGTATAACCAGGACAGAAAAAAAATTCACTTGCTTAACTTTCCCCAACATGTTCCATGAGGCTGTTTCAGTGAAAAATTTTATTTCATCATTTTGAAGTTCTAGTCCACTGTAACAAACTGTTTTTCTTACTCTTAGCTCTGTACATTTTTTTAATAATGGAAGAGTAGACTTGAATAATGGGCTAAGTGCCATAGGGAAAAACTTTCAGCAGACTCATTCATTTAACCATTTATGAATGAAAATCTTCAAAATTTTACTGTTTATTTGCAAACTTAAAACATATAAAAAGTAGAAAAATACAAAAACCAACAAATATTTTCCATACAAACAAAAGGAAATGAAAAACACTGGAAAAGGGCTGAGTACCTCTATCATTTTTATGGTAGGTAAGTGCTGGCAGCTATACTTTAAAATTTTGGTAGAACTCCTGGTGCTCTGAACTCCAGGTGCTCTGGTGAGTGAAGATAAGGAATCATAGCACATAAATTTTGCATTTAAGCTGCATCAAGTCTGGGGTCAATTCCTCTTTTCTTTACTAGACACATATTCTTTACCAGAAATTCTGAGTTTTTGTTGCACCTCAAACTCAATTTCAGTTCCATATATTCCTTTTGATGTTACCATCATTTTCTATATTAATTTTATTGTTTATACCATGCAAAAATGCAGAAACAAAATACTTCCAAGAGAACAAACTCTGTGAGATGGACAATGCAGGATAAACAGTTTCATTTATTTGTTAAACAAAATAATACTTATGGCACTTTGTGCCCTTTAATAGGAAAAAATGCTTGGGATTTACACAGGTGAGCCATCTGTGTAGCCAATTACAGGTAGAAAATATTTTATTGGAATTTAGCCCCTTCTAAAGGACATATTATATAGTATTTAACAACTTTTTATTAAAAAAAAATTAAATTCCCATTCATTTTACTTGATTTTTTTGTATTTTCTCCTCCTTTCTACTTCATTTAACAAATTATTCTATCAGGGAGCCTAAAAGAAAAATCCGATAGCTTGTCAGTGACACTTTGTTTGGAAAAATGTTTGGAGAGAGAAAATATCGAATTTTTACTTATCTTTGGACATTTCAAGCATGCTTTTTTCGAAGGTGCCGATTTTGATTTTTAATATAAATGATAACATTCATTGATATCAAGAAACATACATGTTCATGGAGTGACACAAGAAGAATATAAAAATGACCAAATCAAATATCTAATAAAATGCAAGTTTTTTTTTATCTCTTGGAGCACATGGAAGGAAATCCCGATATTGTTCGTGCGTTCCTAGGGAGAGGAGGTTGGATTTTTTTAAAACGTTTGGAGGTTATACCTTTATGTTTGATATTACTGGTGTTTTTTTACAAATTATTTATATTTGGAGCATAAAACCAAGTAACATTCCAAATAAGACATTTTCATGGTTAACAATGGCAGTAGGTTAATTTTATGCTGACATTAAATATCAACAAATCAACAGTTATATACGGGGCATTCATCACATCTTGAAAATACAAAAAAAAAATAATAAGAAAAGCTGAATCATTATATTGTTAGCGGCGATGTTCAAATCACGCCAATAGGAATGCCAAACCACCCCATATCACAATATAACAAATCATCATCATCATGGGATTGAAGATTGCAGCAGACTTATTCATTGGCATCATAGTATCAGAAAGAGACGGTCGTTGTTGTGTTTCATAAAAGTTTATCATTGGTAAATGTGTCTATCTATGATTCCTTGACTTAGAATCTAACAATAATATATTTTTCACATTACATCATCAGCATTCATTAATCATAGTATCAGAACGAGACTGTCATTGTTGTGTTTCATAAAAGTTCATCATTGTAAATGTGCCTATCTACGATTCCTTGACTTAGAATCTAACAATATTATATTTTACACATTACATAGCATTTATTAATAAATTGATGTTGAGGAGGAACCTGCATTTAGAGTCCAGTCAAATAAATTTCGGTCAGTTGGCCAGTCATTTCACAGTTGATTGTTGAAGAGCCAAAGGTATTTTTTCTGGTAGTTTCATCATAAAAACATAAACAGGGTGGAGCGCGGAAGATGCATCGATTTTGAAAGGTCATTGCTCCTTTCCTAACTGTCCTAGAATGTTGAAAGTTGGGAGATTGCAAATAGGGGGATCAGAAGTTAATGATCCAAGAGGGTTCAGCCATTATAATGAAGTGTTTGGTTCAAGAACATGTATTTTGTGTGCAGACCTGTTTGTAGAACTTACTCCACGAACCAAAAGTGCCGCCATTCAACAATTGACAATTCAAAGAGACTTCTAATCAACCACCTGAAAACGGTAATGCTTATTTTCCCATTTTCAATCATATCCCAACCATCAGTTCTCCCATTATCATTATCAACAATCATCAAATCCATCCACACTCCAATGTAAAATTTCAACCACTACACAGAAATAGCAAAAAAGATTTCAGAGTCATGTCGTTGAATGAAACAGAATAGGAGGAAGCCATGATATTATAGTTCATTTTGGACTTTTTCGAGCAACCAGCACGTCCAAATGCTTCTTATACTCCATAACAAAATATCATGTAAATGTTGAAGACTCGGCAACATGTACTAAATGCAGAGAACTGACAAGACAACGCCCACAATTCGTGCGCCATGTTGTCACGTTTACCTGTTCAAATGTCCTCTAGTGTGAATTAATATAATTATTATTTAAACAAATGTATTATAAACAATAAGCCATTACACATGAGGGAAAATTTTGTGACAATGGATTTTCCATTGCTAAGTAATTAGGAATATTACCAATACATAATTGGGAATTTATGAATTATTGAATAACTAATATTTCTGAAGTTCCAATCGTATTTCAACATATGGCAACTGTACTATGGTCTACCCCTACTAACGAAATAAGTATTTGACTGATAAGTTTATATTTGCAGAAACTTTCTAGCCGTTTGAAAATAACCCTGGCATTATTGATGATTTGAGCGCCTTAAAATCGACCAAAAAATTCTAAAAAAATATGGAATTAGAAGGTATTGGACTGTTGATTCTATTTAAGAAATAAAAAAAATAGTCCACTTGCCCATTATTAATATTATTATTAAGAAGGTGATCTCAGAATATCGTCACTACTCCAGAAAATATAGAAAGGGTTCAAGTGTTACCTGACCATTATCCAGGATTATTTCTTGCTTCAAACGGGAGGGATGGAACTGGAAGACGTCTGGTTTCTGCAGAATGGGGCTACAGCACACACAACAAGTGTTGGCATGAACTTCTTGTGAGAAAGAGTCCTCCTAAGAGGCGATTTGAACTGACCGGCGCGCTTTCCTAATTTGACATCTTTGCTATGGGGATACCTAAGATCCCTGGTGTAGGTGCAATTAGAGTTCCTAAATGTACTTGACACTGCTGTTTGGACGTTTTTTGTATATTAGAGTATGGACACTATGACAAGCACTGACAATCAGACATAACCACAAATAAATTTATGGAAAAAGCGGGAACTGACAGTACACGGACGTACATGACATAAATATAAAAGGTTTGACAAATTGAGAGAATTAGAAGAAATATGCAAGTTTGTGCAGTTTCCAACTGTGAGAACACGGGAAATTAATTCACTCTATTCGAATTTCCATCGGAAAACGTAATTCTACAAAAATGGAAACAGAATCAAGTACATTTCAGAAGGGAAGATTTGATGTTGAAGAATAGGATCGTATTGAGAGAAAGAGCCAAACCCAAGAGAAAGAGCCAAACCCACAATTTATAAACTGAGCGAGTATCGAAAAAAACCTTATTCCAATTTAGAACCAACTAGAAACGAAAAACTTGCAGATAATGAAATTCATTTCGAACATATTTTGAAAGAGAAAGGCTTGAGAATCGAATTTTCAGAGCAGGAATATTGAAAAATCCAAGGTTTACGAGTGGAAGTGAGTGAGGAATTCAGGAAACAAATGGAATAAAAAAATAGAGACTTGGAAAATAAGTCTGAATGTGCATGTACATGCATAGTTGGGAGTGCTAGACTACTACATATAGCTCCTAGTGGATTTTGAACCACTTCCTGGGTACCAAGATACGAGCAAGATATTATCAGAGCACAGAACTAGAACGCTTAATGAGTGCACCATTTATGTTAGGTATTGAAAATGATCTTCCGATGGCCGGGTTCAAACCAACAATCCCTTTTAGCAATATGAACGGCGATTTATAGTGAGTCGAGCGCTGAAGTCTATTTATACCTACTTCTGAATGTCTTGGAGAACCTTTATTATTTATCCTAACTGAAATCAGCTGTTATTGTTGCCATATCATTTGTTCATTTATTAATTACTTATTACATACCACTCTTGTAGGTACAAGTGAAATTGTTCCATACGAAATAAAAGTATGTTTCATTGGTTGAAATTTAGAAAATTTATCAGTTTTTACCGTATTCTGAACTTTTGTGATAAAACAATATTCAACTGAACGTATATATATACCTACATTTAAGAGACTTATTCCATGGGAATAGTATATGTATTTCGTTGGTATACAGGGCATGTCACGACGAGCTTACACTATCTTTATATCCAGAATCAGTCGGTAAAAATCAATGAAAATGTGCGTGCTTATATTTCAGAATACGCTCTCTTCATTTAAAATATTTTCGATAATGCAGTGTTGCCGCTGCGACTAGAAAGTAGTAGCAACATTGATATTTCAAATGAAACACCCTATATTTTATCGCATTTTAATATTGAATCGTTGGTACATGCATTCTTTTCATTTATATAACAGTTATTCTGCTAGAAGTGTATCCGAGGGGTAATCCACTCTCTCAAAAACGTACACGGATTGGACAGATTGGACGTAGGATTGGACCGATATTATCGGATATTATCGAATATTAAAAATACGAGATTGGACATTTACATTGCGAGAATTGGAATATTGGGCTAAGAATGGACCTTGGATTGGACAGATTTCATCGGGATTGGACACCAAGTGTACACATATTGGACATATAGTGGTTGACCCCTCGAGTGTATCACTATAAATTGAAGTGGGTGTTTGTACCCTATATCCATTGTCCATCTACGGGTATGATTGATTTGACAGAAAATATAACCTCTTAAATCGTATCTGACAATCAGGCGCTACTAGGGAAATTGAAAAGACAAAGAGCAGAATATATGTCTTATTCTTTTATTCACTTAAACCATTGTATTATAGAAAATAGAAAAGGACAAAAGTTCGGCTGTGTCCGAACTAATACCATCCAGTGACTCTAGGTGCAACAATCATCCCAGGACCACCGAAACCCTCATTAACAATATTGGACCTCAATCGCCTGTAGCGATGCTTTAAAGGGTGCACAAAAACTTCAGTAACAGGCTGGTGTCAGATTATGGAATTTGACAGGTGCTATTTTTGCGATAGATTTGTTAATTAACGTGTAAACTTCAAGTTTACATGTTCATGATTCAGGAGAAAATGATATTGAATTATTTTTTCTTAACAGTTTGCATTTTATTCCATTCTCAAATCCATAGGTCTGCCGCGCGTCAACCCTGTACAGTGTGTCCAGTTTTCGATGCTTTTGCATGATATCTCAGTTATCCTTGGAGATAGAACCTTGCGGTTTTTGCGGTCCTGTGCCATTTTTTCGTAAAACTCAAGATGGCCTAATCAGATTTTGCAGCACTGTTTCCGATATATAGGGCGATTATGAAAATTTATACTTTTTGGACCCCCTCTATATCTACGAAGTTCATCAGCCAAAATGTCAAATTAAAATCTTAACCCATAGAGAATTTTATGCAGAATCCAGTGGCGCACAACATTTTTTTTTCTGGGTATGGTTTTGAAGATTCGACTCAAACCTATTATTTTTTAAATTGAACACCCTGTATTTTATAAGCTCATTAAATTTTTTATTTTTTCCCTTCGAAATGATATATGGTGTATGAATATAAAATTTTCAAAAATGTTCAAGAATTGAATAATGGGCTATGGGTTTTTCGAGGGATTTTCATATAATGAAATTCACAATTGAAGGAATATTTCCTTTGATTATTCCATGAAGGGGGTAATTATCAACACTAATTAACTTACATAAGATCTCACTAATGCGATCATGTTTTCATCAATTCTATTGAAGCAATCATGTTTTCATCAAGAGAGAAATATATCAATTCACTCACAAACATCGAGTTAATGACTTTGTCAAAGGATTTTGCCAGATCTGTATATATTACTACTACTTTCATCTGAAAATAAATAAAGGTAGATATATCATTACGGAATATGGCGAGGTCGGTTACAGTTTTTTACTCAGAAAGTCATGTTGTTGTGGTAGTATTACTTGTTTAACATGCTTGTATAGTCAGTCTGTTGTAAATAACCTTCTCAAACATTTTTGATGAGCAGGGGAAAATTGTTACTGGCTTGTAGTTTTGGATCTCACTGAAATCACCGTTTTTATAAATTGGCTTTATGCGTCCAATTTTGAGTTTTTCTGAAAATACATTGCTTTTGGCACATATATTGAATAGTTTAGATAAAGGGCGTTCAAGAATGTCCATGTAGTCTTTGAAACAATATGATGAGATTCTGCTACAATATTCAGTGCAGAAAGTGCATGTATTCACCGTGCAGTTTTGAAGTGTCAACGATATTTCGAGAAATCGACACAATTTTATTACAGTTGAAACGCACGGCACTATCCAATATAATGGTTGAAGCATTCAATGTGTATCCTCTATACCTTTGCAGAATCAGGTTCTTGTCCATCAAAAATATCAATTTAAACTATAGACTCACAACGACAACAATTCTGGCGAATTTTCAATAATTTTGAGGAAAGATGGACTGATACTCGACGAGATCCGCCTTTGCCTTATCTTTTAACACAAAACATTGACTGTCACGTAAAAAAGAGTTTATGGCTGCATGTGCAACAAAGACAAATGTTTAACGTGTGAAGAAGTCCATACTGCTCAAAGTGGAGTGGTTGTGTTCGAAGGGAGAGTAAATTGGAGATCATTTTGAGATTTACTCTTCCTTCAAAGACAAATGTGTTTTTGCTAGATGCTTGTTGCCTCTCTCGATTGTTGAATTCTTTGGTTAGTTATCTACATGTTTCTTTGAGCGCGATAAATAAATTTCAACGTGTTGATAGTACATTGTTTCATTAGTATCAAATGTAACACTTTGTTTGACAAGTGAGGCGGAGCGACCGCGAAGCCGAGCACGCAAATTTTGCGAGTAATACAGAGTCACTTTTAATCGATATCTAATTGATGAAATAATAGGAAATATTGGGGAGTTCAGTCAATCGGGCTACAAGCAAACTACTTTATTGCTATGCCAAGCTTGCGAAAATTTTTATTTTCTTCTTCAAGGCTGAAACAATATATTGCATATGAAACATTTTGTTACAAGTGAATTCAACAAAAACAAGAACTTACTTGCAATGCGAGTTAAAAGGTGTAAATTGGAATAATAATGAGTTTAAAAAAATATAAATGATGTAGACATAAAAATTGATAGGACAGTGACAAAAGTCATATAATTTATATACCGGAAGAAATGAAATTATGAAATTAGATTGTTGTTGAATATCTTATAAGGTAGAGTCATTTTGAATATCATCATGAACAAAAGATAATAAATAAGAATATATCTGACTGAGATTATCAATATATGTTTTCTTATTCATATTGTATTTCTCATTATTAATTTCAACCATCTCTAAAAACAGTCTTTTTGTTGATTCTTTTTTCTGAATGCAAAATTTTTGTTTCTTCGAATTTCATTTGATGATCATTAGTGATGACATGTTCAGCGAGTCCGGAATTACTTTTAAGAAGTCTGCAATCACTTTTATGGCCAGATATCCTAGATTTGAGATTCTGTCTGAATATTGAAAAATAAAAACAATGATAAAACTATTATGACAAGTTTGAAAAGGAATACGGTAAAATTGTAAGAGCTTCTGTAGTAGATTCAGAAATGATGAAAACAATAATGAAATTACTAAATCAGTATTTTACATGGGAAATATTCGCTTGCAATGAATAAAGGATAGCTTATATGCAAGGTGTGTATCATTATGAATAAGTTAGAAAAATTTAGGGGGTGATTCCTTGTCATATTTCATGAAGAAAAAGTGCGTACCAATGTTTCCATAAAAAATCATTTACTCAAAAGTTTATTTCTGGGTATGGATGATTAGTTGTTTTGTTGATAGTGACATAGAGCTTCTTTTGGTGTAATCAGCATGAATTTATTCAAACTGAAGGAAACTCTTGAAGTTTTAGTATCTTCGGAAGTATCCATGCTTTTCTCTCTTTCCTTTATTCATATTTTTGAAAATTCAATTGTCAACAATTCAAAATTCCAAATGGAAACTGATATTTAGAACCATAACCTCTTTTTGAATGGAAAGCTCGTTCATGCTGCCAATGGAAACAGAAATAATGGCATCCAATGTGTCAAATGCAGCTCAGCGTGAAATTATCCATATTCATTGTTTATTATAAACCTTCGAGAATTATTTTACTAGTTCTTACAATTGTATTTTTATAGATGCAGATGATGCTGACATCGTTGGACTTGAGAAATCAGTATCTCATGATATTGTTGAAAAAATATCAGAGACTGTGAAAAAATGCGAATCGTCGAGCCCTGAGAGGTTAGAATTGGAAGAGAAAACACATACCACTACAATCGTGGCAGAAATATCACATCATCAAGATACAGTTGTTGATAGTGAAGAAGCACAGTCTGAAGTACAGAGTACTATACTTACTGAGATATCAGTGCAAAGTTCCGATGTTGCGCAAGAATACAGTGTTGTAGTTGAACAGACCCAGGATGATGTTATTATAACTGAGCCTTGTCAAGCCACCTTGATTGAAGATCATCTTAAAGCAGAATCCACTGAATCAAAAGTTGATGAAGTATCAGTAATTAGTGATGTATCTTCAGTGAAAGAAACAAAATCACTAACAAACGAAGAAGAATCTACGAAATCACCTAAAAACATCAAACCTGATAATGCATTTGGTCAACAAAGCGAATCTCAACCAGCTGGTGATATTTCTGAACAATTGACTCCAAAAGAACTTATAGAGGAGGGAATTATTCAGAGGGCAAAAAAAGTAGACATAGAAGAGGAGAATGTTCAAAGTTCATCGATAAAAGCTAATATGGAAGAGAAGATTGTCAAAAGTACATCAGGAAAAGTTGACGCCTTGAAAGTAGAAGCTGGTACATCGGATATAAATAAGGTCTCATCTGAAACTACTGTGATCGATGTCCATAATGAAATCAGTTCTGTGAACCGAATAGAAAAGGGACCAGTTGAGGTTGAAGAAAAATTATTGTCATCAGAAAAATTACCAGATAGCATACAGTCTTCATCAGCAGAAATATATTCTGAAGAGATACTTGAAGCTACTTCGATTGATCCAAAACTGTCTGAAAAAGGCCAAGAACTAACAATGGAGATTCAAGAAAGGAACCTAGAAGAACCTAGTGTAGTTATCCAGTTGGAATCAGATATAGAAGACAAAACTTCCACAGATGACGTTATTGTAGAATATGTATGTGAGGAAGTTGGAAATCAGACTCAAATGGGAGATACTGAACAATTAAAAGTTAGTGAAGGCATACCCACTTCAGAGAAACATGAGTGTAGTGAAGGTCATGAGGTGGACAAATATGAAAACAGAGTAAACATAACTGAAATGAAGGAAGAATCTTTAGTTGTTGCTGAAACAATTAAAGGAAATGTGGATTGTCCAACTCTTGGTGAGGAAAATATATTGGAAATTCAGGAAAGTATTCCTGAACTTCCTTCTGAAAGTTTACCATCAGCAGATTCAAATGATTTTTCAGTTAATCAAGTTTCTGTTGTGAGTGACCAAGAAGAAATAATTTCAGATATGAAAGAAAACAGTTTGAATGAAAGATCTGACGAAAATTCAGAAACTAATATTACTGAAGTTGGTTCAGAGGCATCAGAATCTGTAGTGAATGAACAAATTGATGAAGGAATTTCCTCCCAGGAAAAAAATATGGAAACAACAGACAAAACTGAAGATATTGAATCAGCATCAAAAATATCAATATCTGTGACACAACAAATTGATGACATAAAGTCGCAAGAAGATTTTACAGATAAATCAGTCAAAACAGTTACTGATGATATTCATTTTGCCACATCTGGAAAACCTATGCAAGAAGATTCACACAAAGAAGATGTTCAGAATCCATTTATTTGTATAACTAAAGGAAATGATGGAGAGGAGCAAAATAGATCTAGTGCTACGGGCGGTACTGAGAAGCAAAATGAATTGGATGAAACTATGGCTTCGATGATACCACAGTTGGTATCAGGGTCGAATCCAAATGATAACATGGATTCAGAAACTGTGTTGGATCAACCTCGCAAAACAGCTGCGGCTGAGGAGTTAAATGAAGAACAAACAATTGGACGGGAACTCACTACTAAACAAGGATTCCTCTCTGAACCCGAAGTTGATGTGGGTTTAGCAGTTGATAAAAAATTAGAGGAAAATCCGTCTAAACTAGTTGAAGTCTCTGTATTTGCAAATACCCTGGAATTAAATGAGATGGTAGACGTGAAAGTTTATTCAAAAGATAGGTTATCAGGAGGTAAAGAAGATCTAACTATTGATGTGGAAAACAAAGCTTCTGATGTTGCCGAGGTTATTGAGGAACAAACTTCTATAATGAAACAAGTAACTTCTTTGCATTCAAAAGATATGTCATCAAGAGAAAAAGATGTTCTATCTGTATACGTGGATTCAACAGCAGTAGATGCTATTGAAGTGGACAGCAAGGTTTCCAATCTTCCCGAGGTAATTGAGGAAAATACTTCTATTGAGGAACCAGTAACTTTTTTGCATTCGAGAAATATTACATCAGATCTATCTGTTCATTTTGATTCCGCAGCAGATGCTATAGAAGTAGGCAGCAAGGTTTCTGATGTTGCCGAAGTGATTGAGGACCAAACTTCTGTTGGGGAACCAGTAACTTCTGTTGAGGAATCAGTAACTTCTGTTGAGGAACAAGTAACTTCTATTGATGAACAAATAACTGCTATTGAGGAACCAGTAACTTCTTTTCTTCCAAAAGATATATTACCAGAAGAAAAAGATAATTTATCTGATTATGTGGAATCAGCAGTAGATGCTATTGAAGAGGACAGCGCAGTTTCTGATGTTGCCAAAGTGATTGAGGAGCAAACTTCTGTTGGAAAACCAGTAACTTCTGTTGAGGAATCAATAACTTCTATTGAGGAACCAGTAACTTCTATTGATGAACAAGTAACTTCTGTTGAGGAACCAGTAACTTCTTTTGAGGAACCAGTAACTTCTGTTGAGGAACCAGCAACTTCTTTGCATTCAAAAGATATGTCATCAGAAGAAAATGATTCAGCAGTAGGTGTTATCGAAAAGGATAGCAAAGTTTCTGATGTCACTGAAGTTATCCTGAAAGAAAACTCTATTGAAGAACCAGTCACTTCTTTGCATACAAATGACATCACATTAGAAGAAAAAGTAGACAGCAAAGTTTCTGATACTGCCAAAGCAATTGAGGAGGAAACTTCTGTTGAGGAACCATTAACTTCTGTTGAGGAACCAGTAGTTTCTGTTGAGGAACCATTAACATCTTCTCATCCAAAAGATATGTTATCAGAAGAAAAGGATTCAGCAGTAGATGCTATTGAAATAGACAGCAAAGTTTCTGATGTTACTGAATTGATTCTGGAACAAACTTCTATCGAAGAACCAGTCACCTCTTTGAATTCAAAAGATATGTCATCAGAAGAAGAAGAAGCAAATAATCTTTCTGTTCGTGTGGATACCGCAATCGAAGCAATACAAGCAGGGAGTAAAGTTTCTGATGTTGCGGAGCTGATTGTGGAACAAGAATCAGTTAAGGACCAAGTAATTTCTTTACAGAAAAAGGTCGCAAAAGAAACAAATGATCTATATACTGAATCAACATGTGATATGAATGAAGAATACATGAACAGTTTGAAAGTTATTCCATCTCCGACAGAACGAGAGGAGAACCCAATCACTTCAGTAAATACAATAGTTAATAGTATTGTAGACAAAGAACCTGTTGAAATGATCATAGAAACAAAAAAAAATATTGCCACTATTTCAGAAAAATATTCAGAAGTAGGTTGTAATGAAACTGTGGAGAAAATCACAGAGGCAGAAGTGGCAAAGTGTGCAAATGATGCAGAAGTAACTGAAAATGCCGGTTTGGAAATTCAAAATGATGGATCCATAACTGTAGAACTGCCTGTAGTAGATGAAGAGCCAATGACAAATCAAAATTCACCAGAGGCCATTCTTGCTTCTCAGGAAGATATCAAACATGCTGATACCATTGAAATTGTATCTGAGATCTGCGATTCTGATGATAAAGTTTCAACAGTGCAGCTTGAAGGTAATTCATCACTTGCAAAAATTGATGCATTCAACAAAATTACTGAAGATGTAACATCGATTGAAAAAGTGTGTCATACTATCACTGAAGGATATGATGCTTCAAATGAAATTATTCCTCTTGGAATACCTCCTGCTGAAATGATTGAAGATTATAAATCTCCTGCTGTTGAGACTGTTCAGATAGAAGATTTGTTATCAGTTGAAACCAAAAAAACAACTATTACTGAAAGTTTAAAAAAACAGCACAAAGTGAATGATTTGGAGTTTGCTCCTCTAGTGCTTTCTGAAGATGATTCTGATGATGAATCTGTACCAACTTTAGTATTGGACTCTGATGAACGAAATGAATCTTCAAATGTAATATCTAATGAAGTCATTGAAGAAAATATCGTAGATGAGGAACCATTGGCATCAATTGATGAGGCCCTTATGGGGAAACCAACATTTGAAGAAACTCCTACTAGTTCTGTTGAAATACAAGCAAATTTAGAAACAATTTTAGCAGTTGCAGCATTGCAGAAGATTGATATTCCGACAGAGCCTGAACGGGAATCGATGCTCAGTGACAACGAACGTAGAGAAATGGAGGCACTACAAAGGGCAGTAGAGAGTATTACTAACCCCTTGGAAAGTCCATATGTAGAGGACGCTAATGACTCCTTGAATATGCCTGCAATGATTGATGGAGAATCAGATATCATGGAAGGAGCTGTAGATGAGAATATGTATGCATTAGAACAGAGTGCCCAAAAGTGTTCACCAACTGCTGAAGAACATAGTTCTCAATATAACATTCCAGCCAATGTCGAAACTTCTGATGTTGATCTATCCATGGCAATATCTGAAAGTAATAATGAAACTGTGCAAGAAGTAGAAAACTTTTCAGTATCACAAGTTGAAGTAGATGTTTCAAATCTTCCTAGTGCTGAACAGGTTCAAAATGAAGAAGATAGTTCTCAATATGACATTCCAGCAAATGTCGAAACTTCTGATGTTGATCAATCCACGGCAGTATCAGAAAGTAATATTGAAACTGTGCAAGAAGTAGAAGACTTTTCACTTTTACAAGATGAAGATGTTCCAAATCTTCCTAGTGCTGAGCAGGTTCAAAATGAAGGAGATAGTTCTCGATATGACATTCCAGCAAATGTGGAAAGTTCCAATGTTGATATCTCCATGGCAGTATCAGAAAGTAATATTGAAACTGTGCAAGAAGTAGAAGAATCTTCAGTGTCACAAGATAAAGTAGATGTTCCAAATCTTCCTAGTGTTGAACAGGTTCAAAATGAAGAAGATAGTTCTCAATATGACATTCCAGCAAATGCCGAAACTTCTGATGTTGATATATCCACAGCAGTATCAGAAAGTGATATTGAAACTGTTCATGAATTAAAAGACTTTTCAGTATCACAAAATGAAGTAGATGTTCCGACTCTGTCTGATGTTGAACAGGTTCAAAATGACAAAATGCAGACTATTTTGACATTTGGAGAAACAAAAGAACTTGGTCGAGATGTTGAAAATCAGGAGGAGTCACAATCTCTGAGAGAGAAGTGTGAAGTTGATCCAAAATTTCCAGATGTAACAAATTCTTCACAACTTCTGGATTCGTCTGACATTGAGAAGTCCAAAGATGAAGATTCACATCATTCCAGTTCTTCAAAAATAGAATCTATCACAGCTGCTGTGGAAGAGGTAAATAAAGTAAATCATTTGGAAAACCATACTGTAGAAGACATTCAGGAAGTCATTAATAATATAAAGCCAGAAACACTTCCAGAATGTAATACATCTGAAAAAAGCACGTCTTTGATAGTTGAAGAAGAAGTCGTTGTCGAAGAAGTTGTCACAGAAATGAAAGAAGCAAATGTTGAGAAGAGTGAACAACTATCAGGTTCCAAAGAACCTGAACAAGAAACTTCAGTTGATTCTTCCGGCATCATCTCAGAAACTGTTGAAGTTCAACCAGCTAAAGAAAAAGATGCAAAACTCAAGACAACTGAAAGACCAAGAAGGCACAAGAAAGAAAATAAACTAGAACAACTCAGTATAAATGTTGATGTACCAGATGGGGAAAAAACATACAGTCCAAAAGTCAGCATCAAACCTATAAGAGTTCCTGATGATGAAGTCAGTACCACATGTGGCTCAGATTCCGATATTGTAAAGGGTAGTTTGAAAATCACTATCACAAAACAATCCGATAAAATGCACTCGGTTTTGAAGGTAGTTGACTCAGATAATCAGGATAATCACTTGACCGAACAAGAAGAGCCCATACCCAAGCTGATCATAAAATCAAAAATGCAACAGGTTGACCCACAACACAGCCCAAAGATGTCCACTAGAAGTTCTAAGCAAAGCTACTCACCTACTACTTCCAACCAAAGATCTTTGAGTCCTAGAATCACCATTAAGCCAGTGCTGAAACCAGAAAATAAAGAACCGTTGAGTCCTCTCAAGATTAAAATAGGGCTCAAGCCTGATGAAGCTTCAAAGAAGAAAGTTTCTATCAAACCAATTTTGAAGTCTGATGATGTAGAGTCTCGAGTTGAACATAGCCCAAGAATCACTATAAAGCCCATTCCTAAGCCTGAAGTGGAGCTGATTCCAAGGCTGAATATTAAGCCCATCAAGAAACAAGAGGATGAGCTTGAGGAGAAGGAAAGATCTAGCCCGAAGATAACCATTAAGCCTATTGTCAAGGCTCAAGAGGTATGTATTATATTGAATTCAACTATTCGTTCCACTTGTAGATATAGAACCAGGCTGAATGTTTAGTAGCTAGGAGACCGTTAGCTGAGTGACTATTTGCTGTGGTATGAGATGCAAGATCGGTTAAATATTGAAAAACCATCTGGTGAAATGTATATCCACTAATAACTTGAGTTTTTTTATAGTGGTGGTCCAGAAAATATAGCATTTCATCTTGAAATTCGGCAAAGAGAGTTCGATTTTGATAGGGTAACATGTGTTCTCTCTGTTTTATCTTCTGGTAAAAATAATATTTTAGTATCTGGTAATGCTAGGCATGGGATGATAGAGATTTCTGATAAATATTTCCCGTGGAAATATCTATAGAAAAGTGAAAGGTCGCCACTAATTAGTTGATTCCTCAATAATCAATTATCATTGATGAATTAGGTATTTCGGCTAATTTTAATGCGGTAAAGCCCTTTTTTCCTCATTATTGTTCTTTCTTCAAGTGGCTTTAGGCGATCTTGGTATCCTTCCTGCATAAGAAAGGATACTACTTTTTCTGAACAATCTAACCTAAGTCGCCCTTAATGAACCTTCTTCCTATGTAAAACTTGACTCGCAAGAATTGAATCCGAGCCGCAGGTGTGGCAGTCAGATGCACAGCTCGCGGTACGAAACATTTTTTCTGTATAGAAAGCAGAGCATCCTGCAAATATAGCGTGTTGTGACTGACGTCATGTACGTGCGAAAATTCAGAGAGTCACCGATGGAAATGGTGTATCTAGACGCTTGTCATCAACGCTTTAAACGTTTCACCAACAGTCAAATCCACTCATCAGTTTCGATCATTTTTGACGTATTATACTTCAAAGCGAGATAAGAAAGATGTCAGATGACAAATGGTGTTCAAAATTGCGTGAAAATGGTTTTTCGGAGACTGAATATTTCTTCTTCGACGACAATAGTGATGACAGTTAATTTATAGATAGTTCAAATACATGCAAACGTTGTCAATTAGAATGAATTCGTGATTTCCTATCATTTTCTATGGCTCTTGCCTTATCTTAGAAAATTCACATGTATTTCTATTACCAGGGGCGTCCGCTGAAATAATCTCAGGGAGGGGCAAGTCACAATAAATAATGTACAATATTCACAACATATCAAAAAAACAGTTTTTGCACGACCTATAAGCGATTTTACACCAACAAAAGCGGCAATACAGGATACAGGGTATACAAAGTAGGCACTCTCTTGTAGTATCCCGACTAGGGTTTATTCAGGTTCGGCAGATAAGTGAATAAAATACACTATTTCAGTAACTTAACTATATTAATTATTATCATACAGTACCTATACTATCTATCACTAACCCTAATTCACCTTCTACACATGACGAACGACAGAGATTATTAAGTTCGTGAGCTCACAATGTCGTACCTTCCACAGACCAGTGTTGATGCCGATCAGATCTTGCTCCAACCGTTCAATACCGAATAACCGTTTCCACAATCTCAGCTGGAGTTAATGCTTGGACTCAGCATCCAGGACTCCCTTAGTTATAATGTCGTATGAATTTAGCTTTTCAATACCGCAGTTCCTGTTCTTCTATTTAGTCATCTTTTTCTGACATTTTCTCTTGACAATCCCCTTTTTGACAATTCTCTCAACAACTCCCTTTTGTCTCCTATCAGTTCCTACCTACCAGATCCACAACTATCTGGACTAATCTCTATGAATAATGAATATACAGAGTGGTCTAATGTATATACATAGTGGTCTATTACACTCTAGGCTCAAAAAAATTTCCGGGATTTTTCTGGCTATAAATCTACCACTATGTTTGCAGCAGCAAGAGTAGCCATATACTCTTCTTTATCGGTAGTCATAATAATCAAATAACTTGATTTTGTGATTATTGTGTTCAGATTTTCATTTTCATATTGACGTCGTCGAGTCGTGCAAAAAATGGTATATAAACCTCGGAAGGGAGTTATTTCTTCCCTCAGTGCATTTTAGCACCCTCTGGTTACAATACCACATCCGGAAAAATCATGCACTTTACTCTCTCTCTCTATTCTACATAAAATATGGAATACACCACATAGGTATTCTGTTTACAGCCAAGATTACAATAAACAATTGCACGTGATGATAATCATGAGTCTTGAGCAAATTTATCAATAACTTCGTTGATAAAATTAACTCTATATCTATCTATCTATAAGATGTCCATGAATACTAATTAAACAGAGTCTCAGAAAGTCATTATAAGAAGCGTTAATCAGAATAGGAATTGAATAATGCAAATGTATCTTGTTTATAAAGTATCTGAGTAAAGACCAGGCGCTAGGGGGGGGGGGCGAGCGCCCCCCCCCTTGCCTCCCCCTCCGGACGCCCCTGTATATTACCTTCTATTGCAGAAGGAAATCTAAAGAGATATTACAAAAGAAAACTATGGGAGTGACTACAGGATCAATAACCTACATAAGCACAGTGTGATGACAATCTTGAATAAATAAATATCCCAAGAAACATGATTGATGTGCCAAAATAATTGTGAAAAACTGAAAAACTACTTCAATTCTATGTAATCAAATAAGAAAACTGAATTTATTTTACCTTTAGTATCGGCCATCAAATGTGCACGCGACCTATTGAAAGATTTAATTGTTATTAATGTGAGTTGTTTTTTTTTTCAAAATGCAAATATCCCAGAATAATTCTCATTGGATGCATGAAGTGCAATATCAAGATTCAAGATGGAGTGTGAATGTTTAGTGCGGAATTATTGGAGAAAAAGTTATAGGACCTTTCATTCTCAATGGAACTCTCAATTTGTTTATCTCTTGGAGCGCACGAAAGGAATTTCCGATGATGTTCGAAGAACATCGTGCGTATCCAGAGAGGACGGAGAGGAGTTAGATGTTGGCATTTTTTTTCAACTTTTGGAGGTTAAAGTTCTTGGGAATACTTCCATTGGCAACGAATTCCAAATCTTCGTCGTTCTATATACGAACGAGTTTTGGTAGAGTGTTGTTCGAAGTTTAACAACGTAAGGATGTGGTGACTGGGCCTGTCGAGTTCGTCTGCTAGTGATGAAATGTGTTCCTACAATGTTACTCAGCCATGATCGACAACAGAGCCACTGCCGATTATGAATATTGACATCATGACATTTGATGTGGACAGTGATGGATAACAGGGACTGTTTTTGGCGGTATTATGATTAACCTAACATGATTGTGGGATTCTTGTTGAAATCATGAAGTAATAAATCTTTATTACTAATATTGTGTTTCAATACCAAACACTACTTGGTGGTAGCTCACTGGATTTAGGCGTTTGATAAATGGTTGTGTGAATACAAAAAGTAAACAAACCAAGTCAACATGCCGGACGAACCAAGAGTGCAGAGTGCAGGATTCTCAGCCTCAGCTCCAGTATACCAAATACCAGCACCTGAGCAGTTTTCATTCAACGCCAATGATTGGGAACAGTGGGTATTACTTTTCAAACGATTATTAAAATTAATTAAACATGTAATCTATGAATATGAAAGATACTGTTTTCAAATTCGAACTCAAGAGGAGGGAGAAAGTGTAGAGGACGTTGTCACAGCACTACACTCTCGAGCCCAAAACTGCGACTTTCCAGCAGGGATTTTGAACGAGGCCATCAGAGAAGTTGTGGTTGGTATCAGGAACAGTAGTTTATCAGAAAAACTTCAGCTATATCGTGCTTTGACCTTAGAGAGAGCTGTAACTACAGCCAGACAGTCTGAGTCTGTTAAAAAGCAGCAGGAAACATTCCGTGGTGCATCCAGTTCAGTTGATAGAGTAGGTGTTAGAAAACACTGGGAGAATCAGTCTCGAACTGCAACTAGATCAAAGAAGGACAATATTCCTGTGAAACATCATCCAAATTTTAGTCCAAATTGTAGATGGTGTGGACATTCTAATAAACATCAACAATCCGAAATCCTGCTCGTGATAAAGTTTGTTTGAAGAGCAAGACAAAATTTGTTAGAAATGTTGAACCTTACTGTGACAATTTTGTGGGGGAAATTTTTTCAGTTCAAAACTTCGAATTGGGAAGTACAGTTAGACATTTCGGGACAGAACTTATCAGTGAAAGTTGACACAGAGGCTGACGTTAGTGTGCTTCCTGAGACTTTATTTCATGACGTGTTTAATCACTGCTCATTAGTGCCAGCTGATACTATACTCACAGGTCCAGGAGGAAACAAACTCCCTGTTATTGGAGTGTTTATATCTGAAGTAGGTACTAGATCTAATACTGTAGTAGAGGACTTTTATATAGTAACAGGTGCTAAACAAATATTGCTCAGTGTGCATGCATTTGAAAAGCTTGGGCTGATTCAGAAACTCTGAGGTTAGAAGTGAAAACAAAAACTTTTAGCCTTATGAAAAATACTCTAGTCTTTTTAATGAACTAGGATAAACCAATCAAACGTACAACATAAAATTGATGAAAGGGAGTATTCCAGGCGTATCCCTTTGCCACTTCGAAAAACTGTTTAGCTGGAATTACAACAAATGTGTGACGGGGGTAATTGAACTTGTAAACGAACCTACAAATTGGTGTGCTCCAGTGGTAATAGTGCCTAAGCAAAAAGGGGGTATAAGGTTGTGGGTGGACCTAACACATCTGAACAAAAATATAGAAAGAGAAGTTTTTCCAATCCCTTATGTAGACTCAACATTAGCTCAACTTGAAGGAGCAAAAGTATTCAGCAAACTCGATGCTAACAGTGGTTTTTGGAAAAAACCACTGTCGGAAGAATCGATGGCTCTAACCACTTTCATATTGCCTTTTGGAAGATACAAATTCAGTACAAAAAGTACAGTTCAAACCTGACGCATATGCGTCTCGCACATAGTCTAATTATGAACGCAAGTACGCACAAATAGAAAAGGAAGCGCTGGCAATAGTTGTTGTGAAAAGTTCGCTCATTATATAGTCGGGAAGATTATAACTATCGAAACGGACCACAAACCATTGGTGTCCATTTTGGGTCAAAAAGACTTGGACACATTGACACCACGCTTACAGCGTATTAAAATGCGCCTGATGAGATATTCTTATGAAATTAAATATACCCCAGGCAAAGACCTGGTTCTGGCAGACACTTTATCACGAAGTCCATTGCCCAGTGATGGAAGCCAAGAACTAACTGAAGAGATTTCAGCATATGTTCAGTCGGTGATACAACATGTTCCTTCATCAGACAAGAGGTTGGTAGAAATCATCGACGGGCAACATGAAGATTATGTATGCTGTGAAATTTCAAGGTATTGCAGAGAAGGCTGGCCTAGTCGTCATAAACTTTCTCAAGAGACTATCACATATTGGGAGTACAGAAACCTAATTACCTCACAAGAAGGAATTCTTATGTATGGGAGCCGAATAGTAATACCTCATTGTCGTAGAGAGGATATCATCAATAGACTCCATGAGGGCTATAAGGCATAAATAAATGGCGTGCTTTGGCCAGACAATCAGTCTGGTGGCCTGGATTGTCAACTCAGTTAGAGCGATTGATAAAAAACTGTGTAACATGTATTCAGAATCAACCAGACCAAGTGGAACCTCTAATCCCATCAGAATTTCCAGAGCGTCAATGGCAAATTGTTGGAACTGATATGGTGAAGTTAGATGGAAAATGGTGTGTAATAGTAGCAGAGTATTATTCCAGGTACATAGAAGTGGCCAAATTGGAAAAACTGACGTCTGGATGTGTCATCAAGAAATTAAAATCCATTTTTGCCAGACACGGAATACCAGAGTTAGTGAGAAGTGGTAACAGAACTCAATATTCACCAACAGTTGGTTCTGCTTTTGGTGAATTCGCAAAAAGTTATGGATTTTTCATCGTCACATCAAGTCCCAGGTACCCCCAGTGTAATGGCTTCGTTGAGAGACAAGTGAGGAATTTCAAGAACCACTATAATAAGAAGGGGGGAGATCCGTATAAGACATTATTGGCACTTCGTTCAACTCCGCTTCAGTCAGGTCTCAGTCCTGCTGAGTTATTGATGGGACGAAAACACCGATCCAATTACAGCCCATTATCCCGGATAAGAAATACCTAGCGAAGAAAAAAGACAAACAAATAATCGGTCAAAAGGAAAACTTTGATTCTCGTCATAGAGCCATTTCACTCCCAGAATTACCAGTCGGACAAAAAGTTTGGATTTCCTAGTCCTAGTCCCTTAGTTATAGTGCCATACAAGAAGTGGGGGTGCTGGTGAAGTTGATGGAATGATAAATGGACAGGTTGTGGAGATGAGTGTGTCATCAGAATTGCCAAGTGAAGCTTCTACATCTATGGTGTAAGGTGCTGAATTATTGAGGAATAAGTCAAGTGTGTTGGCTGGATTGTTATTGACATCGGGAATTCATGTGGGTTCCTTGATTAGCTGATCTGAGCCGTGGGTGATAGAGAAAGCTTCGGCTTGTCGCTCAGCTTCATCCGTTTTGTTTGAGTGTACGAGCCAAGCAGTGTTGAGTACATTGAAATCGCCTATGATGATGATTTCTGTCTCTGGATGTTTCTGCTGAATAAGATAAAGCTTCAGAAACAAGAACTCGAAGTGCTCTTCATGGGTAGGATCATTTGGTAATAAGTAGAGACAACGAAGGCATTTGGTCTCAATTTATTTAATGTACTACTCCTTTTGCTACAAGTTGAAGACTTAAAAATTGTGCGGAATTATTTAGATTTAAGATATCCTAGCAAGTGAATAGGAAAGGGTAGTGTGTTTGATTGGCCGGGTAGGTCTCCAGATCTAACTTGTTTAGAAACAATTTGAACATCTAGGAAGACACTAGTACTACAAATTATTTCAGCGTGTGTGTGATTTATATTTTCTAACATTCTTTTGGTTGTTCTCCTGTTCCTCAATAGGTATTACTTTAGTGTTCATTTTCTTTTCGTCTGCTCTGCTCTTCTTACATATTAGAGTGAGAGAAATATAATATGGTTCTATTTGAAATTATTGAATAATGGAAAATTGTCTGATTTTCAAACGGCACTCTCTAGCGGCCACCACGAGATCCAAATGTACTTGTTGAGTTATTTGAGTACTTTCTACCAAAAGTGACAAATGCAGTCTATGGAACATACGCCATTTTTATGTGAATTGCAATTTTTAGTGATCTGCAGTGATAAAACCGTGAATATTGAATGTTGAACGGATCACTGACCATAATCACAACCACTGAATAATTTACAGGGTGCGCAGAAAAGTGGGCTCAGAAAGTGAATGTGAAAATCATAGATTAAAACCCAAAGTCATCTCCACAACATTCATTGGAATGATCGAAGATCAATCGTTACAGAACATGTTTCGGGCTTATATAAGCCCATCATCAGCCAATAGAAAGTATCAAAGTTCTAGAAAAATCAGTATTGACTTGGGATGTAGATGCAAAAATTACTTAGTACTCACATGGATATGAAAAAAGTAGACATACAAATAGTATAGTTAATAACAGGGCAAACAAGGGAAATGTGCTCCATGATCTGGAAAACAATGGGTTCAGAAAAATAAAGAAACAAAGTGAAAAAACTTTCTTTCTCTGTAAAATAATATAAATGTATTATGTTATAAAATTATTTGAACGGTTAAGGGTCAGGTTCATATTTTACAAGGGCCCACGTGGCCTTGAATTACCAAAAGGTGATGATCATACACATCGAAAAATCAAACTAAAAAGTTTGATGAGGCATCAGAATTAAACTGATGAAGTGAAAGAATCACATGTGCCTGAAAATAATATAATAATAATGGCATGACAGACGTCAGAAAATTTCAAATGTCAAGTCAAGCAGATCATGGAACATACAGATACATCAAGTAGGATATTATTATGATTTGAGCAGTGAGCACACAATAACAAAGAACAAACACTATGTCAGATACTAGCTGATTACTTACTTGCTGGTATGCATTGATGACGGCTTTATAGCCGAAAGTGCTCTGCTACGATATTTTGAATGAACTTATTCATTTATTCAATGAAGAACAATTATTGGTATGATTTCAGGAATCTCAATCGAATGAGGACGAAGACCCTATCAAAGAACGGATCGTCCTGAAAATAAATAAAGGCAACCTCCCAGCCGCCACGAAAGACGGGAAGAAGCGCGACCACCAGCCGGAAGAAGATAAGTCCGAGAAACTCGCCAAAATCACAGTGAAGTTCTCTAAAGAAGGTGGCCATCCTCACATTGTGCAGCAAGTAGAGGAAGGATCAAAGAGGCCCTATGAGGAACATGGGGTGCAGGAGAAAAGCAAGAAACAGAAAGTCGAGGTGGAATCGATAATATCTACTAGGTCAAGACACAAGGAACAAGTTCAAGCAGAAGGTGATGTAAATTGAATATAATATTTTATCTACTAACTGAATCGAAAGTGAGCGTTTTAAGCGTTCGCTCCCCTAAAGCAGTCAATGTAATCTCACGAGAGGAAAAAATTACCTTCAGTATGCTTTCTTTGCGTCGATATACCCACAAGATCCGTGCAATCCAAGTTATTCATTATTGTGAAACAAATAACAATTTCCTTCTTGATTTCCAATGATCTTACACATATAAAGTTCCAAATATACTTCAAAGGTAGTTAAAAGAAAAATAATCTACTTCCATTGATTTTCAAATCATTGATATTCCAGTGAGTTTTTGTAAATTTCTCAACTTCTTGATTTTTGTCATATGGAATGAAGGAGATTTTTTTTTAAATTTTCATCAAGGAGCAAATGAAATATCATGTTATATAAATATAGTGTATATAACACATTGAAAAAAACTCCACAAGATTTCCACAAAACTCAAAAAAATGAAATGTTTTTTCAACAGAGTGGTGGAACTTTTACAAAGGAACACCCCATGAAAAGGAATATTATCATATATAATACCACAAGTGATAATATTTTGCCGGAAATATTCAGTGATTGTTACGACAGCTTATTGCCTAATAATTTCGTAAATGGCATTGTTATCAAAACTACCAGCCGCAGGCGAGTAGTTTTGGATCAATATTTCCAGGAAAAATAGTATCACGAGTTGTATTCATATGACTATTTCATGATTGAATGAGACAATATATATAAGAAATAGGAAACATAATTTAAGTATATTCCAACTCAAACTGTGAAGAAGAACATAATGATAGTAATAAAATACAGAATTCACTTTTTTAGAAATCAACTACACTTCACAAAGTGGAATGTACAATTTAGATGAACAGTATTTTTTTAATTATCTTGGAGAATGTTGCTCTCAAAAGAGTGTATACAATTGCTATCCAATTCAAACAAAATAAATTGAATTTATGTGACATGAAATAATTTAAAAAAAAGATGTCGTCGCCGAGGGGCAGAACCAGTAAACGACCTTCTGTTACACATATTGCTTGTGGAATTAGAAACCAATAATCGTCCTCTCATATTTTAAGGATAATTATTTTGTACCTTTCAGATACCTTGAAATGCTCTTAGCACCTTTTCAATGTGATTCGTTATAACAGTTATTGAACTCGCTAAGAAAATTCACAGCAAAGGTAATGTCCAGCCTTGTACATGCAGTCAAATACATTGAACTACCTAATAACTGTTGATATGGCAAATCCTTTTTACATATACATTGATATCTATCTCATCAAAACATACATTTTCATCCATGGGCGTGCCAACAGAATTACCCATGTTAAATCTTTCAAATATGAGATTGATGTACTGTTTTTTACTCTCATGCCTAAGCATTGCTCAAATTGGCCCAAATTTTAATTCTTGTAGTTAGCTGCTGCTTTGAAGAGACTGATTCTTGCACAGAGTTAGAAAAGATGAAGAAATCATCTGTCTTCATGCTCAATGAAAATACAAGGGCCATGATCACTCCTTTTATAGTTTAAATTGATCAACACATTTTCAACTTCTTTATACCAGACACCAGAAGACTGTTTTAAACCAAAAACAGCTCTGTTCAGTTTCAAAACTCTGTATTGGTTGCTACGGGTTCTAGTGTCATAAACATCTGGTATTTACATGAACACACTTTCCTCCAGTTTTCCATTCAAGAATGGTGTGACAACGTCCAAATGGTAAATATTCAATTTGAGCTGGACAATGCCCAAAAAAATCTCAACGTTGAATGTTTGTCGATTGGAGAAAATGTTTCATGGAAATCGATACCTGGTCTCTGGCTGAAACCCTTAGCAACCAACCTAGCCCTATAAGTCAGTGATGCCAACCTTTCAAAAACGTTTTCCCTACTCGGACCTATAAAAATTCCCTACATTGGGAAAAAAAACTACAAGTCATTTGAAATCAAATGAACCCTTATTTTCATGTAGCTGATTTAGCAAATTTCAATTTTTCACTGATATTGAATATAAAGGACCCCGCACTTTTAGTACGTAAAATAGTTCTCGGTGAAATTTTCTGAATTTTCAGTATGTTGTAGAATTCGATGAACTGATTGAACCTGCAGAATCGTAAAGTTCTCTGATGAACAGATTCTGAGATACAGGGCGTTGAAGTTACAAATCGGTATTTTTCATTTAATTATATTCTCGAAATTCAAAGATGCCAAGTACAATTTTCTTCGCTCATATCATTAACGAATCTCCATATTACTCAACATAATTCAGATGGTTCAGATGATGTAATTGATTACAGAGTGACACATATAAACATTTCAGTGATGTCTGAAAATTCGATGTAATAATGAAATATCGAAAAAATGATTTAGGCATGCAGTATACTATTCTCATTCCATCATGAATCCCGATTCATACATTTCATACAGGGCGATTTGAAAAATTGGTGACACCTAAGACCGATTTATTCATACACATCCTGTATATTCTAGTGAATTGTTAACCTTCCAAGATAGCTGATACCCTATGAACATGATTTCGTTGAGATATATAGGGTGATCATGAAGATTTTCGATGATGAAAATGACAAAAAATCGTGTTTTTTGAAATCACCCTGTTATTCATGATTAACTCGGTGAAATTCCCTAATTATTTTTCAATGTATTCAATTACCACTATATTGTATTTTAATATGTTAGTATTGATACTTTACTGTGCTAGTTTTTCCTTGCCCTGCTGACCTGCTATAAACATACTTGTATGTATCATAGTTAAATAAACTCTATCTATCATTCGCTCCTCAACGCTGTCTTGAAAATTCAGTTTCCTATCATGACGGGTGTCATAGTTATTAATTCAGGAACTTACCATTTGCATGAAGAGTTGAAAAGACTTGTTCACTTACATTCGCATTATGGCCGATATTTTTCACAAATAGTGAAACGTGAGAATCTGGAGACGAAAATAAGTTTAGTATTCATATACAGGGAGAACATAAGAAATTCAATAACAATAGCAGATATATGAATTTAATAATATTAATATAATGTAGGTACAGATAGTTAGGCGAATTTCGATTCCAGGATTCAACTCTCCCTATTAGAAATGGAAGCGTGAAAGACCGAATCATTCTTTCATCTCCTAGGTATTGTTCGTTTTTCATTTTGGCAGAGCTTGTATACCAACGAAATTCGCCTAACTATCTGTACATTATATTAATATTATTAAATTCATATATCTGCTATTGTTATTGAATATCTAATGTTCACCCTGTATATGAATACTGAACTTATTTTCGTCTCCACATTCTCACGTTTCACTATTTGTGAAAAATATCGGCCACTATGCGAATGTAAGTGAACAAGTCTCTTCAACTCTTCATGCAAATGGTAAGTTCCTGAATTAATAACTATGACACCCGTCATGATAGGAAACTGAATTTTCAAGACAGCGTTGAGGAGCAAATGATGAATATATTAAAAAATAATTAGAGAATTTCACCGAGTTAATCATGAATAACAGGGTGGTTTCAAAAAACACGATTTTTTGTCATTTTCATCATCGAAAATCTTCATGATCACCCTATATATCTCAACGAAATCATGTTCATACGGTATCAGCTATCTTGAAAGGTTAACAATTCACTCGAATAAACAGGATGTGTATGAATAAATCGGTCTTAGGTGTCACCAATTTTTCAAATCACCCTGTATGAAATGTATGAATTGTAATTCATGATGGAATGAGACTAGTATATTGCATGCCACAATTATTTTTTCGATATTTCATTATTACATCGAATTTTCAGACATCACTGAAATGTTCATATGTTTCACTCTGTAAACAATTACATCATCTGAACCATCTGAATCATGTTGAGTAATATGGAGGTTCGTTAATGATATGAGCAAAGAAAATTGTACTTGGCATCTTTGAATTTCGAGAAAATAATTAAATGAAAAATACCGATTTGTAACTTCAACGCCCTGTATCTCAGAATCTGTTCATCAATGAACTTTACGATTCTGCAGGTTCAAGCAGTTCATCGAATTCTTCAACATACTGAAAATTCAGAAAATTTCACCGAGAACCATTTTACGTACTAAAAGTGCGGGGTCCTTTCTGAGTTTTCATAAAAACTTCAAATATGCTTTCTGAATCAAGTTGGGTGAACAAAAATTGAAAATAGTCACTTCAGTGGCTTTTAATAAAAAAATAAATGCTAGAAAAATCCACTCAAAAACGAAACAGCATTCCTTAAAACAAGTTAACGAAAATAAAAGAATCTATTCCACAGGAACTTATTCCTACAAAGTAGGTATTCTTGACACATTGTTGTCATAACTTGGTACATGTACATCACAATAATATCAAATCTTGATAAATTTCCTTATTTCCTAAGAAATTACTTTTACAGGAGGAACAATTTCATCACATATGTAACTATAATATTAATAACAAAAGTGTTATGGGGTTACCTACATAATTAATCACCTCGTTAATCACTTATGATCATACGGATTCTTGTATTTCATCAATTTATATTGTGTGTCATTACACTCAAAGCTCGTACAATTGATATTTTTATCATTAAAAGATGTTCTAATAATACACATTGAATTCAAAACTTCATGACTGAGTTTATTCCTATTTTTTTGTACGAATATCTGTAACCAGAGAAAATATTCTTTCAGAATCTGCATTCAAATGGGGAATAGATATTGCCAATTTTGCAAGATTCATCCAAAGATAGTATGAGCATTTTATCCTTTTCATGTTTATCAAAATGATATGGCATATCACGCCATTCTCGAATAATCTCATTTTTATTCAATTCATCACATTTATTCATAAGTACCTCAAAATTTATGTTATCTAAATTTTTGAATCTCTTTCAAGGTTACTATAGATATACATATAGAATTCCTAACAGTCTTTCCTAACTACCTGACATTCACTGCTAGGTAATTTTTCTAATATTGTAGCACAA